TATCGTCTCTCATCTCGAGAGGTGAAATGCCAACTCAGAATGCATCACAGCCTGGCTCTAAGCATCAGATGACCTGTCTTCAGATGTCCCTGAACCCTCAGTTCTCCTCTCCCACTCAGAATGCACTGACTCAACCTGATCAGAGAACGAGTGTCATTCACACGGGCTGAGAGAACAGTGTGCCATTTGAAATGGACACACACATGCACACCTCTTGCGTTTCTTTGAGTGAAACCTCTAATCCATTGGACTTGCTGCCTCCTGAAGCAGAATAAAAATGCTGTTATATCATGCTGGTACTTTGTTTATACTTCGTTTCAAAGAGTACAAGGCCCTTTGGAGGCCCAGTGGAAAATCAATGGCCAGAATAATGATGCAGTCTTGGGTTGGCTTGGATCTGTGCTTTGCATTCAGTGTCATCCTGAACACAGATTGGATGCGAGCCCTCACCCACATAAGTAATTTCATTCAGTTACATTCTTCTGTCTTCTTTTGTCTCCACACGTATATCCACAGGTAATGACGGTAGGAGGCCTATTTGTGCACAGAAGCCCAAGGGAGGGGAAAAAAAGGAGTCAATGACATTGGGTTTCATTTATAGTTGGCCAAGTTGCGTACTGTGCAGTAAAAAGGATCTTGAGCAAATTTTCTTTTTAAAAATGTAATTTATGAATTTTTAGCAGCCACACTCCAGACTTCATTGTCACATGAAATCATGAAATAATTATAATACCTGTATGATGATTTGGTGCTGGTTATATGATTAGTGTTGAAAACAATTGTGTTGCTTAATATTTTTGTGGAAACCGTGATTTTTTATTTTTATTTTATTTGTTTATTTAAAAAAAAATCAGGATTTGTTGATGACTAGAAATATTATTTGAAATAGAAACCTTTAACCCCTCCAGAGGTTCTGTAATCTACGCCGCTCAGCTCATCATGTGTCAAGAGTGACCTCTGCTGTTTCCTCAGTGCATGCATTCATATTGCTTACATGGGTGACAGGTCATTTAGACTCTAGACTTTCTTCAAAATCTGTGAAGACATTTTCAAAAAAAAAAAATCTTTAATTTACATATGGCAATGATTTGTGTGTGTGTGTGTGTGTGTGTGTGTATGTTTTCTTTTTAAGGGAAAATCTCTTGTAAAATGAAACATATTATGTGAAATTAGTAACAACGAATAACAAAAACGTACTAAAACCTCAACTAAAAAATATTTAATTTAACATACATTAAGCTAAATGATTCAAATATATTGTAGCATGTTCAAAAGGTTACTGTTGTTAAAGGAATGTGCTAATGTTAATGTTGCACTTACTTTATTCTGTTGTTATTAAATGTTCTGTGTGAGTTGGGACAAGCCCCGTCCCCTGGGTATGTGTGAGGGGAGTACTGGGGAAAGAGGGGCAGAAGATTTCAAGTGTGGTGCTCTGAATAAATCGGGGTGTTTGTTACGACGTGGATGTGGCCGACAACAGCCTTAAACACTGCAAAATGCTTCGTTATTGTCTCGAGAATGCTACAGTTTATTTAAAAAAGGTATAATAGCGTTAAAATATTTATTTTAATATACATTCTCTATTTATTTTAATATATTCTCTCTACGACAATTGGGGGCCAGTTGTCCAAAAGTAATCTGATCGGATTTTGGCCATCGGATTGGATCAAATCTTGAAAATGGGTTGTTCAAAAGAAAAAAAGGATTCTGAATTCGGGTTAGATCACAAAATCCAATCTTGGTTTTGATCTGGATTAAATCCTCAGTTTGTGTTGTTCAAAACATTTTTAGTAAGATTGGGATAGCCTACTTTTGATAAAAATAGATTTGGAAATCTGAAAAAGTGTGTAGCCTATCTGGATCAGGGTTATCCAATCCAATTTTGCTTTGAAAAACCGGCACAAGAGTAAAATGGGTGACATGATCCTGGATAGCAAAACGTGGGGTTTCCAAATCCATATAATTCTGATCCAGATTAAATTTTTTGAACAACTGGCCCCCATAGACTATAAAAACAGCTGGCCCCTCCTGCTATGCCTCTATCGCCCAAACATGGTATTGACTTCCGTGTTTACGACAGTCTGTGAGCCGGTGTTCATTTACGGCAGGCAGTACAGGCACATGTGTTTCCAGAGTCAACAGCGTGCTCATTGATAGTCCAGCTAACCATATTTAAAGGTAAATTGTGCTTTTCGCTTTTTAGTTCGAGTTTCACAGTAACATATGTTTGAGTAGAATACTTTAACATGGTATTGGTATTATTTGCCTATATTTTTTGCACGCAGGAGTATTAGATATGCTAAAAGGCTAACCTCCTTAACGTTAGTTAACCATGCTCGACTCGACAGTACTCCACTACCAGGGCTGTTATTTCTTTCTTTAATGTTTACGATTATGGTTTATTATAAGGAAGTTTTTTTTTTTTTAATCCTAAAACTATTTGCATTAAACCTGGAGATGCAGCCTTTTCTTTCAGGGTTAATTTCGCTCACGATGATCAAACTTCATTTTGATTTCTCGTCGTTGAGCTTTATGTTGTCCTAATTAGCCAGAGATTGGTTTCTTGTGTTTTTACCCGTTTTTATGCAGTCTATGGTTTTTACAGGTTCTCTGTCATGTCATTCCGCGGGGGTGGTGGTCGAGGAGGGGGTCGTGGCGGTGGTTTTAACAGAGGTGGTGGTCGTGGAGGCGGATTTGGAGGGGGTCGAGGTGGCAGAGGTGGATTTAACAGATATCAAGACTTTGGCCCACCAGAATATGTTGTCGGTAAGGTGCCTTTGTTTTCTTTCATGCTCCTCTTTCTATTTAATTTACGTTCTAAAGATTGCGGTTGCACTGCAAGACTGCATGTCAGGTTATAATTGGTATTCATGTTTTTCGTGTCTCAGCTGTGGGAGAGTTCATGCACCCCTGTGAGGATGATATTGTCTGTAAATGTGTGACGGATGACAATAAAGTCCCCTACTTCAACGCTCCTGTATACCTGGAAAACAAGGAGCAAATTGGAAAAGTGGACGAGATCTTTGGGCAGCTTCGTGATTTTGTATCCTTACATGTTATTGCATGGGATCTTGACTGTGCTGTCAGATCTTACAAAGACTACAAAACTTCATACTGACGTCCAGTTAAGGGTTCTTGTATAATTAACACTATTAAACCCGTTTTTGACGAATTTCAAAGGCCTCTAAATTATCAGCATGATCAAAACGTTGCTGGGAAAAAAAACTGTTGAACACAATAATACATGCCCTCTGAATTATAGTTCATATTTTTAGCAAGCTATTTCTAATGTCTACTTTCAGGTTGTTGTGCACATCTTTTTGCTGTAAAATCTTTAAGGATTTTTAAAAGTGCAAAATTGTATACACAACTTATTAATATTTCAAAATGAATGCAAATGTTTTTAAATGTTTAGATGAATAATAATATAATAATAAATCGTTAATTTGCAGGGTTGATGAATTAAATTTCATTAAATATGTAAATAAGTCCTTAAATTCCTCAGTATTTTTCAGTCAAACTTTCTGAAAATATGAAGGCATCCTCCTTCAAGAAGTTACAGAAGGTAAGTTCAGTCTTTTTGGTTTCCTAGATGTGTAGTGTTGGTTTGAACCTTGTTTGCTGATCATTTTATTTAGTAGTAGGTGGGTAGTTGAAGCATAGCATGTCTGTTAACTTTATTTTTTATTTGTTTTTATTAAATATGTAGGAATGTATAATGTAAAGTGAATACTTCTTGTCCCTGTTAATATTGTAACAGCATTTATAGTAATTATGTATATTTAAAAAAAAAAAAAAAAGTCTTACTTTAAGCAGTTATATTTTTTAAAGAACACCCCACCTCTTATCAGTGTTATTTCCAATATTAGACAATGATCAGTGGGTGTTCTTTTTAAAATTATTCATAATTTAGTAGCAGATATTGCTTCGGAAAATCAAAGGGATTCTTAAGAGCCTTCAAGCTATTTTTGCAGCTTCCTTTGGCTGTTCTGACTCTTATCAGTACACTAGGATGTGACTTACAGTATTATGCAGATATTTTTAATTGGCTTTTCTCTTTCTCTCCTCTTGCATCAGTTCTACATTGACCCTATGAAGCTGCTGCCCCTCCAGAGATTCCTCCCTAGGCCTCCAGGTGAGAAGGGGCCGCCCCGTGGAGGAAGAGGTGGGAGAGGAGGTAAGATCACACAAGAAAATGGCATACATATGCTGATTGATTCCGTTTGATCATTATCTCTGGTTTTAACCGCTATATAACTTAAACATTGTGGTTTACCTTTGAAGGTATAAACCCTAAAGTGAATGATGTATTTGCAGGTGGCTTCCGTGGAGGTCGTGGTGGCAATGGTGGTGGTCGTGGAGGATTTGGTGGTCGTGGAGGATTTGGTGGACGTGGAGGATTTGGTGGACGTGGAGGATTTGGCGGACGTGGAGGAGGAGGTGGGGGAGGATTCAGAGGAGGCAGAGGTGGAGGCGGTGGACGTGGATTCAGAGGTAATTAGTTATATTGATCATCAGAAAATAATTATGAAATTGGATGTAAGTACTGAATTCAGTTTAATGGAGGAATATACAAAAAGGCATTTTGAATATACATTAATGTTAACAAGTTGGGATCTTTTTGAAAGACATCACTTATGATCACCAATGCTGCATTTGCATAGAATCATTTACATATAATCATCTACATTGAATAGCAGTGTATTATATGTGAACAGTACATTATATCTGATCTGCTTTTTTCATTCAATTAAAACATCTTCATTGTAGTAGGAGAAACACGTCACATTTTTCCTACTTGCTTTGCAGGTGGAAGATGATGAAGGTCTCTCAGTATGGGATGTGTCCTTTCATCTGCTGGGGAGACTTCCAGTGAGAAGCCAGAAGCAGCATTTGGGGCCTAGTCTTTAGACCGTTAACTGATGCCTCTTTTGTACAGCTGAACTTTTTACTTGGTTTTGTACCATATGTGTATTTTTCTGCAGTAGATTTTTTTTTTTTGGTATACTGATAGGGCTGATGTTTTAAGTTACCACATGCCTGTGTACAAAGAGGGCGAGTGTCTCCCCAACCTTGACTGGTTGGTTAGCATCCACTGATGGCTGGACCAGTGTAGACTTGAATAACATCAAGGTTATGTAGTGTGACAAAATGGTCAAACCAAATCCACAGATAATAATGTAAAAAAATATTTTCATTGTTGGATTATAATGAATATTTGCATTTACAGAATAGCAATTTGTTTCATTTGAACTCCAGATGCCACCATGGACTTCCAAAATAAAATCGATGGTATATTTACTGTACTTTTAACTTGGTCACCTTGTTTTTACTAATTCTACTGTGATTTACCAACATGTTTGTTCACAAATTCCAAAAGAATCTGTTATTGCTCAAGTGTAGATACTGGGTTGTTACAGCTTTTTTGAATGGGGGAGATTCCTGATTCTGCAAAGCTGTCAGAGACCGTTTATAAAAAGCAATGTGTAGTGTTATCAACAGCTGGACAAAATGTTTAGTCAGGGTTTTTCCAGATCTTCAGTGTGGAAACAGACGGCATTGGGAAATTGCCTTGACTATTCTTGGAAAAACAATGCTATGTCACTGATTACAGCTTAAAATAACTATATATATATATGATAAATAGGATTTCCAAGTCTGATGTAAAAATAAGTGACAGGATTTCATATATTACGGAATGGCATTTTGGTAACTGTATATTCCACAGTTCCTAACTGATTTTGTGATTTTTTTATATGTAATACAAATACACCAACCTATTTGAACTACTGCAAGTTTAAACTATGCTGATAGTTATGCATGTGGATTGTGGACAATGAAAAGCTACATAACATAAAGTTCAATTTCCAGCCACTGCCCACTGTCCAGTTATATTTTGTGAGAAGACGTTCTTGCAATCTCCCTTTAATAAGGCGAATCGTACCTTCTTTTTACGAGAAAAAAATAAATAAAAAAAGTTTTAGCATAATGTCTTTGTATATAGTAATCCATATAACTAATTACATATTTACAGTGTACATGCATCATGCTTTGACAGCCTATTTCTAGTTGTAGGGAAACCTGCTCTTTGATTTATTATTTAACAATTCATCGGATAAATCGTTTAGCAACAGACCAATAAAATGCAAAAGCGCTGGTTGCGCTGAGAAAAACAACGTACTTTGCTCGAGCGTAGCCACATCGTGGTCTCTCATTGGTTGAAGAAAGAGTTCTTCAGTTTGCCACACCCCTCCTTCCCTTCCTCTCGTGGTGGTGGAAGAAAAGCATGGACACAACTGGGAAAGTAGGTTTGCAGCGAAATTTGCTCTCCTCTCACCCTTTGAACTACGTAAAGTATTTACAGTGTGCATTTGGGCGCGTTTAATGTACGTAATTTTGCAATATTTGTGGAAAAACCTTGCGTGTCAAGACGTTCAATCAAAAACGTTTTCAAGTATATAGTAGCACTTGTGAATGTGCATGACAGGAGTGCAGATCTAGCTAGGCATACACAGATCCATTGTGCTGCTTTGACCTGTTTTCTGTACGCAGAAATGTGCAATGGATGCATGAAAGATCAGAAACATGTTAGTCTAATCTCTTTATTTTTGCATTCAACGGGCATTAAGCATAGATTTATTACAACATGTAAATAGAGATTGACCGTATATTGGGCCGGTTTTCCTATACTGTACATTAACTGTATTAAAAATCACATGGTTTTGTGCGTCTAACTGCTTCTCGAACGGCACTGTATCTGTATAAAATCATCCAGAGCAGTAGTTTACATAACCTTCATTTTATTGGGAAAAGGACTTAGCAAAACTTTACTTCTAAAATTATGAACTGATATCTTCTCAATTCATCCTCAGGTGATCAAATGCAAGGCAGCAGTGGCCTGGGAGGCTGGTAAGCCTCTTTCCATTGAGGAAGTGAAAGTAGCTCCACCTAAGGCCCATGAAGTTCGAGTGAAGGTAAACCATTAATCTGAACATTGCACCTCTTGACAAAAGATGTGCATAGAGTGTAGATGACACAAATACCTTGGTGCTTTATAAAGCCTTTGCTTTTAACATTTTAATCTGACATATCAGAGGATTATGAGATATTTTCATAACTGATAGCATCACAATTTCACTTTCTAATTGCACTGGCTCTACTAAAGTTGTAACAAACCGGCTTGCAGCAGCACCCTTTCAAAGCACCATGTTTTGTGACAGATTTACACCGGGCAGGTGCACCGATGTTCAGTTTTGACCCTGCTGTCTTGTCTTGAGCATGATTACGCAGAAGAGTGTTTGTGTTCTTTATTAAAATAATGAAGCAATCAAGTCATTTATATAAAAAATGCATAGCTGTTCAAAATCTGTAATCGTGAGACGTCTTATGTGGTTGTATGTTTTAGATTCATGCTACAGGTGTGTGTCACACTGACGCCTACACTCTGAGTGGAAGTGACCCTGAGGGCTTGTTTCCTGTCATCCTGGGTCACGAGGGGGCAGGCACTGTTGAGAGTGTTGGCGAAGGGGTCACCAAATTCAAACCAGGCATGTCAAAATAGACTATTTACCCTCATGTGAATGACATTTAACGTGTAAAATGTGAGCTGTTTTTGGAGTTATGCAGAAATCCTGAAGTTCTTTTACTTTTTGTGAAGGCGATACTGTTATTCTGCTGTATGTACCCCAATGTGGAGAGTGCAAGTTTTGTAAAAATCCTAAAACCAACCTGTGTCAGAAAATCAGGTAATAATGAATATCATTTCATTATCATTTTCCTTCGTGAAAATACACTACTGTTTAAAAGTTGGGGTCAGTAAGAGTTCAATAAATATTCATTTATTCAGCAAGGACACATTAAATTGAACAAAAAAAAAATAAATCACAAAAAAACATAAGACTTAAAAAAAAAAAAAAATTTAAGTTAGCTCAATTTTAACTATTTAAGTTATTTTAAGCAATGCTGTTCTTTTGAACTTTTTTATTCATCAAATAATCCTAAAAAAAATATCAAGGTTTCCACAAAAATATTACACAGCACAACTGTTTTCAACATTTCCAACAAATCAGCATTGTATTTTTTTTACTGTATTTTTGATCAAATAAATGCAGCCTTGGTGAGCAGAAGAGTCCAACCCCAAACTTTTGAACGGTAGCATAGGCCTTTTTATCGTTCATGCTAACTGAGATAGTTTAGTCTGTAGATACTTAGTTGTAATGTCATTTTTTTTAGGGTGACCCAAGGTCAGGGTCTGATGCCTGATAAGACCTCCAGGTTCACATGTAAAGGAAAACAGCTTTTCCACTTCATGGGTACTAGCACCTTCTCTGAATACACCGTGGTGGCTGAAATCTCTCTGGCCAAAGTGGATGAAAATGCCCCCCTGGACAAAGTGTGTCTGCTGGGCTGTGGCATCTCCACTGGATATGGAGCTGCTATCAATACTGCTAAGGTCTGTTTTGATTGATTAATGTGCATTTCTTTACATTTTGCTGCCTCAATGTCTTATGAACTTATTCACCCTGCCAGGTTGAGGCCGGCGCTACATGTGCTGTGTTCGGTTTGGGAGCAGTGGGGCTTGCAGTCATAATGGGCTGCAAGTCAGTTGGCGCCACCAGGATCATTGGCATTGACATCAACCCAGACAAGTTTGGAATTGCCAAGAAGTTTGGAGCCACTGAGTTTGTGAACCCCAAGGACCACAGCAAGCCCATTCAGGAAGTGCTGGTGGAGCTGACAGATGGAGGAGTTGACTACTCCTTCGAATGCATTGGCAATGTTGGCATTATGGTGAGCTGCAGAAACATCAGCCATTTAGTTAAGGATGAACAAAAGCTGGCAAATACAGCCACCCAGCTGTGTACTGCTTAGTTGAAGTCGGCAGTGTTCCTCAGAATATTTGCTTCCATGGTAACCTGGTAATCATCACTATTTGTACTAATGCGAAGTGCATAATTGCCCTATGGTTTTATACAGCTTTAGGTTCAGGATGAACATTATTGTTGCCATGTTTCTTGTTGTCATGTTTGAATTCAGAGAGCTGCTCTTGAGGCTTGTCACAAAGGCTGGGGAACCAGTGTCATCATTGGTGTGGCAGGAGCAGGGCAAGAAATCTCCACTCGTCCCTTTCAGCTGGTCACAGGACGCACATGGAAAGGCACCGCTTTTGGTGGTGGGGATTTTATTTTATTTTATTTTTCATTGCTTTTATATTATTTTTGTATTTTAGTTTTTTATAATAATAATAATAATAATATCACTTTTATTATTTGTATTTTTAATGATGTATTTATTGATTTGTTTTTCAATTTATTATTTTTATATTTGATAATATATACATTTTAGTATATATAATTATTATTTAGTTGTTTTTTCTTAATGTTTTATTTTATTTATTATTATTATTATTATTATTACACTTTTATAATATAATGTTACCATTTACATTTACATATTACATATAGCATATCAATTATGCAATTCACTTCATAAGAGAAGGATTCTCTGTCTTTCAGGTTGGAAGAGTGTGGAGAGTGTCCCTAAGCTAGTGAATGACTACATGAATAAGAAGCTGATGGTGGATGAGTTTGTTACTCACACATTGCCCTTTGCACAGATCAATGAGGCCTTTGACCTGATGCATGCTGGGAAGAGGTACATACCTTATAGCATGCCTGTTTTTATCTGGTGCTATCTGCAATGTCATATTAATGCTATAGGGGGAACAAATTGGTGTCTAAATGCAAACTTTCTTTTGTGTGTCTTCCACAGTATCCGAACCGTCCTGCAGCTTTAAGCCTCAAGTTCAAACATGAGTCCTAACTGCCTTGTCCTGCCATGAAACAAACATACTAATCATTAACACCCTTGTCTCAGTAGTAACTGTGCTGGCTGTTGTGTTAGAGGCTGTTCTGATAATGGTTATTGGTGTGTAGAGTTCGTTACACACTGAATAAATTTGATTACCAAACACAGAACGTGCTGTCCTTCTCTCTCTCTTTTTAATAGTCAAAATATTGATGGCTTGATATATTCTGTTGTATGTATAAAACTTGAATGTGTGCATTTCAAATCATAGAAATTGACCAAGTAAATTATTTGGTTTATATAAAGCTGTGTTGCAAACAATTCAGTTGATCACATAATGGTAAAATTATGATTCTTAAATATTATTTTCCCTGATACATTCTACACTGTGATAGAAAATGTAAAAACACACAGTGACAAATATTTTGAATGATCCATTTATTATACTATATGCATACATAAAGCACCTAAAAGGTTTTACTCGAGCAGTGAAGTATTAATGAATCATAAAGTGACACAGTACATGATTCATATCCCTTTACAGCGGGAGTCCATTTCTCTCGGTGTCCTCTAGGGGCCGCTGTCCAGACGCGTGCATGTGCTCGGTTGAGTTTGGCCAATCAAATGGTGTTTTCACACGGAAAGACCCTTCACGTTTGTAGAAGATGGCGACTGCTGAACCGGTGAGTCAATATAAGTGCTCTTACAAACAGTTTTTTGTGATGACACCAGTGGTAGTTATTAATGTTAAATACGTGTTTCATTTTGTTCAGGGATTTTATCGAAGCTAATCTGAATCACTGTTGCTGTGGAGTAATATATCACAGCAGACAGTCAAGTGAGCTCATGTGTCTGACTGTCGCACATATGCGTTTGAAAGATATTGTGCAAAAGTGTTAAATATGTTATGTTTTTTTTATCTGAAGAGGAGGGCTGTGAGCATATTTGAGGTTTTCTTTTAAAGTTGAAGATGTTTGTTAAACCTTATCTGTTTCTGTAATGTAGACTCATGTTTTGCTGGTGTGTCACTGAAAATATGGATGTGATTGTTTTTAGTCTTTGTATGGACACATCGCATACTGTAGCTCAAAATCAGTTATTTGATCTTTTGACAAGATAAAAGTATACGCGGATATAAGTGGAATTGTTAGATGTTTAGTTTGGTCAAGTGTTAATACAGTAAGTTTTGGAGTTGTTAGTGATAAAACCTTGTGTCGAATTTTACAGTTACTTTGGTTGCAAGATTATGTTTTTCTTTCTAAACATGCATGTTTGTCACTGTAAAAATAAAATGATACTTAAGGGAACCATTTCCTCAGAATTTCTTTGGTGAAATTTTATGTACATTTTTAGAAAGGGCAGTTTTCTGAGAAACTTTCATAAGGATCCATAAGTTCCTGCCAAAGTTTTCATAAATATCCACCATTCCTCCAGTAACCATGTCATAAGACAAGACTTGAAATATATATTTAAGTTCCTTGAGTATGCAGCAATATCTTAAATAAAGGTGCCTGGGTTTTTTTAGAGGGTTTTGCCAGGTTTGCAATCTTAAGAACCAAAATAGTGGCGTTTGTTTGTTTGTTTATTTATTTATAGTTTTTATATAGTTCTGGTGATAGGTATTGGAATAAGCAAAGCAAATTTAAAATTGTTTATCATTAGTATAAGTAATAGCAACTTGAAGTAATAAATGCGCCTTAACTATTTTATGAATTGTCCTGAGGCAATATATAATGTTTACTCTAACACAGTGGGGCCTCAGCAAACTTCCAAGATGACTTCCAATGATTTCAAATAGGACAAAACAATATATACTGAGGGTTCCTCATTTTAAAAGTGTGACTTCTAGACTTGGAAAAGTCATGTAAAGTAATTCCAATAACTCCATTTGCATTTCATACTGAAATTCAAGTTAACGCCAAGCTATAAGTATTTCGTTGAGTAGAAATTTTGGGTACAAATATTTTTTTAAATCCTAAATTTTAATAATAGTAGATCACAAACGGCTGAAAAGGTCCAATGAATATTGTTGCAGTCAGTGGCATTGGAGTCCAAAATGTCAAGAACCTCTTCTCTTAAAAAAAAAGGCGTTATCTTTGAAATGTCACATTCAGCTTGCAAAACTTAAGATGAAAATAATGGAAATATAATAAATTGTTCTGTTCTTTCCTTGTAGGAAACTTCAACAAATCCAACAAATTCAGAAGAAGAAAAAAACGACGAAAATAAGCAAGAGATAGTGAGTCTTGAAGATTATATTAAACATCCTCTGCAGAACAGGTAAAGCCACCCAGGCCACACACATTTCATGTTTTGTGTGTGTGTGGGTGTGGGTGTTTTCCCTAAGTATCTGAAAAAAGTTATCAAGGGTTGTTTTCTTTTGGCAGATGGGCTCTTTGGTTCTTTAAAAATGACAAAAGCAAAACATGGCAAGCTAATCTCCGTCTCATCTCAAAGTTTGACACAGTGGAAGACTTCTGGGCGTGAGTAATAATGAGAGAACTGAAACAACACAGACAGCATGATAGATTCACCAACCACTGATTAAATAAACAGACTGTGAGTTGTAAGCAACACTGTGGCACTAACAGATGTTTTGATGTTCTTTCCCAGGTTATACAATCACATTCAGTTATCAAGTAACTTAATATCAGGATGTGACTACTCCCTCTTCAAGGTAAGCCAGGATATAGCATTACAGCATGATGCAAATAATTTTGAATTCATCTAAATTGATCCGTGTGCTCTTTTTGGAGCAGGATGGCATTGAGCCCATGTGGGAAGATGAGAGAAACAAGCAGGGCGGCCGCTGGCTGATCACCCTGTCCAAACAGCAGCGCAGAGCCGACCTGGACCGCTTCTGGTTGGAGACGGTAAGTCTATACTCCAGTCGGTTTAACTGCATTAGCTGCAAAATTTATACTGTGTTTGTGGATCATAAAGGCTTAGATGTTCTCTCTCTCTCTCAATTCTGGTTTCATTTTTCAGCTTTTGTGCCTTGTGGGAGAAGCGTTTGATGACCACAGTGATGATGTCTGTGGTGCTGTCGTCAACATCCGAACAAAGGGCGACAAAATAGCGATATGGACGACAGACTACGAGAACAAAGATGCTGTTATACACATAGGGTAAAAATCATTCAGTCCACTTAAACCCTTCAAGCTCGTGTTCATCTGCCCAACACCCACATCTCAATCAAAACCTATGCATAGAACCAAGTCCCAGCACTACCTTTTTTCCTTTTCCGATAATCTGTAACACTTGGATGTATATCACGATACAGAAGGAAAAATACTGCTGCTACTTGCGTTTCAGTGTGACTTTAATTTTCGCTTTCTTTTCATTTGTGGTTATTAGGTAGAGCACTAGGTAGATTATTGCCAACTTTACACTGCAAAGGTGGCACAGAAGGGCTTCTGAAGTGGCATTTATTTACCCAGATTGTTTAATGCTGCTCAGAGGGGTGGAATACATGCATTTGCACAGCAATTACAACTTTATATGTTGATACTAGGGGCTGAGATAGGTCTGCGCAGGCATAATTTATTCTGGCCATTATGCGGCATTGTGCCTTAACACTGAATTTTCAGCAGGCACAGAGCATACTTAACCCTGAACCTAATGTTACTTCTTGAATATATCTGTAAATTTGCATTTATTTGTCTATTCACAGGCGTGTGTATAAGGAAAGATTAGGTGTCCCTCCAAAAGTCATCATTGGATACCAGTCACATGGGGACAGCCACCAAAAGTGGTTCCACCACCAAGAATAAGTTTGTTGTTTAAGGAGCCTTTTAAACAGTGAGTATTTTTGATAGTTCTTTTTAAACTTTCATATCATTATGTTGATATTAAATATCCTCTCTTAAATTGTTCATGCTATAATTTCATTTCAGATGCTGCAACAACGGTCAGAAACTTTATCAAATTCAAATCTTCATCAGAAGAGACAGACGAGAACAAAACTGACCTGGGATCTGACCTTTCGCAGGATGCTGTGGGGGAAACACTAGGAAATTAAAGGCCTTCAGATTTGTAGATGGAAGGGTTTAATCAGAGGAATATTATATTTACGAAACTGTACAGTGTATAAAAACAGAGCCACGTTCTTTTTTTTATTTTTTATGTCAGCATACTATTAACTGATCTTTTGCTGGTGGGGATGGGAAGTGTATTCAATTCAATTTATGAATATTTTTCTTTCATATTCTGTTTGCCTTTTTATGTTGAGTTGCAGTTACTAAATCTTAAGTGTAGTTTATTTATTTTTTACTTAGGAGACATTTACACTTCTGCTTTGGATTTAGTGTTTAAGTGATTTGGACAGTAAACGGATCATGATATTTCTAATTACACTATTCAGATGCTTCTTGTATTGCAGCTTGAGAATGTCAAAGGTTGATTCTGTTCAAAGACTGTTGTATAAATGTGTATTTTTGCAGTCTTGTTTTACATTCCTTATGCAAAATGTTCAAGGCAGTGCTGATAACTGATCTCTGGTTCTTACCTTTTCCTAAGGGGTTTCATTGAGTAGCCTGGATTCTTTGTAACAAAAAATAATAGAAGCCCTTTCTTGAACATGGGTGCTTATAAAAAATTAATGTAAATAAAAGGTACAATGCATTGTCGATACCCAGTGAAGAGCCTCTGAAATGCATCTGTTGATGATAAATAAATAATCCTCTGAGATTCTTGAGATGTGGGAACCGTTTTCTCATTCCAGTAGAAGCTTATAACCCATGTAGCCAAATTTATTAGCTTCCCTTTGCTCATAAATGTAGTTGTATGTCCTTTTGTTAATCATCTATGATGAAAAAGAATGCTCTTTTGCAAGAACAATATTTAAGTGTACTGTATATCTTAAAGACAGCTATACAACTTGAAGATCACTGAGTAATTATGTAGTATTGGAAATGAATGAAAAATGTTCAGCACAATTGCTTTAATGCTGTTTGTTAAAGAATACCAGAGTATTCACACCATGCTGTACATTAACGCTAGGTTGTATATTAGATTTAAATAGCTTAGAAAGAACTATGATTTCTTCGTACTATTCTTGACCATAAAAATAAAGGCGACTGAAAAAAACAAAAGTAGTCTTTTGCCACTTAAAGTTCGACATCCTCATTCTTTCAGTTGCTCTTGAGGCCAATTTCTGAAAGCAGCTTGATCTGGATTGCCTACAGACTGGGTTGGATCTTCCTCCACAGGCTCAAGATGATGATCCAAAGTACTCTCAGATAACACAGAAGGTGTCCTGCTCCGGGCATGTCTGGGTCCGTCCTGGAAATGCGACAGGCCTTTGGTATGATAACTAGGGCTGGGGCTGGCAGAGGACAGGGTTCTCTGGCTCCCATTTAGGTAACTACCATAGTTCACAGAGTCCTTTGAGTCCTGCCGTGAGTAGAAGGAGTTGATGTGCGCGCCCTGGTAGTTGTACGCTCTCCAACCTGGCCGTCTCCTGCGGTGACATCTGCATTTCAGGATGCGGATGAAAGCTAGCTTGAACTCCCGGCTGTAGCAGGGATAGATGATGGGATTCAGGCAGCTGTTGAAGTAACCAAGCCAGAAGATGATTTTGAAGACGGTTTCAGGAGGCCGCAGGCTGACATTGAACGCGACTGCAAGGAGAGAGAGCACATTGGTAAGGTCGAGTTTTATACACTAATATTGTAACATCAGTTCTCCAAGTTATTCAGATTATAAAATAGATTTACATTTGACTTTTATTCAAAAAGTTCCAGGAATTTAAAAATTACACCATCTCCAGAGAAAATGTAAGTTTTGAAGTGTATTCCTGAGAATACTTAAAGGATACATTTTCTGTGATGCTGTGTGAAACTACTATGGAAA